TCCGGGACACCTGAGATTTTGAGTGAGATTGAGAGGTTCTATGGGTCACGCAAGTGTGAGTAACGATCCAAGAGCAAGTCTTATCCGACACTATTCCGATGATATCCCGGACGTCAGTCTAAGCGAGATTAGAATGGCTCTCCAGCACCTTAAAAAAGGACAGGGCCCCAGGCGAGGATGGAATTACAGCGGAGCTTCTGAAAGCGGGTGGAACACCGGTACTTGAAGTCCTTCAGAAGCTCTTCAATTCCGTCCTACATGGTGGCACTACTCCAGAGGCGTGGAGCGGAAGTGCGGTGGTCTTGTTCTTTAAGAAAGGCGACACCGCTCTCTTGAAGAACTACAGACCGATTTCCCTTCTGAGCTGCGTCTACGTGCTGTTTTCGAGAGTCATTACGAATCGTCTCGCACGCAGACTCGACGACTTCCAGCCTCCCGAACAAGCCGGTTTCCGAAAAGGCTTCAGTACCATAGACCACATACATACCCTGCGGCATATTGTACACAAGACTGAAGAGTACAATCTGCCACTTTGCCTGGCGTATGTGGACTATGAGAAAGCCTTTGATTCCGTCGAAATTTTGGCGGTGCTACAGTCTCTTCAGCGGTGCCAAGTTGACTGTCGGTATATCGAAGTGGGGAAGTGTTTGTACAGTAGGGCTACGATGGCTATCCGAGTACAGAACCAGAGCTCGAAACCTATCCAACTGCAGAGAGGTGTAAGACAGGGTGACGTTATATCCCCGAAACTCTTCACCGCTGCAGTGGAAGACGTTTTCAAGCTACTGGACTGGAAAGGATACGGTATTAACATCAATGGCGAATACATCACTCACCTTCGATTTGCCGACGATATAGTCCTTATGGCAGAATCGCTGGAGGACTTAAGCACTATGCTCAATGACCTCAATAGTGCCTCCCAACGGATAGGTCTTAAGATGAACATGGACAAAACAAAGATTATGTTTAAAGTCCATGTCACACCTATGCCGGTAGTTGTTGGGAGCACTATGCTCGAAGTTGTTCACGAGTACGTTTACCTGGGACAAATAGTCCGACTAGGTAAGTCCAACTTCGACCGAGAGGACAATCGACGGATTCAACTCGGCTGGGCAGCGTTCGGGAAATTACGACGCATCTTCTCGTCAGGTATACCTCAATCTCTAAAAACTAGAGTGTACAACCAGTGCGTGTTGCCAGTGATGACTTACGGATCTGAGACGTGGTCACTTCACTGCTGGCCGTATGAGGACGCTCAAGGTCGCTCAGCGAGCTATGGAGAGGGCTATGCTCGGAGTTTCTCTGCGTGATAGACTCAGAAATGAGGATATTCGCAGTAAAACCGGAGTGAACGACATAGCCCAACGGATTAGTAAGCTGAAGTGGCAATGGGCCGGCCATATAGCTCGAAGAACCGATAACCGATGGGGAAGAAAGGTTCTCGAGTGGCAGCCTCGTACCGGTAGGCGTAGTGTAGAGCGACCCCCCACTGGATGGAGTGACGACCTGGTAAGATATGCAGGAAGTCGATGGATGCAGGTGGCTCAGGACCGTGCTTTGTGGCATTACTTAGGGGAGGCCTATGTTCAGCAGCGGACTTGTGAAGGGCTGTAATGTGATGATGATGATGATGATATTTGTATTTACTTTTGTCGACTGTATCTGTGAAGGAGTTTTTGTTTTAATTTTGTTACGCCTGTAATTGATGTTAAAGATACAGTCTATAAGCGTTTCAACTGCTGGGCACAGGCCTGCTCTCATTTATGAGAGGGTTTTAGGGCAAGAAAGTATTCGCCGCGCTGCCTTAATTCGTGTTGGAGAACTTATCATGTCCTAAAAAAAATTCTTATTTCTCAGAGATGTAATTTTTTTCATAATGTTTTACTTTACCGCCATGCTAGTGGTAAATCAGCACTTAAAATTGTAATTAACGATTTCATTTCTGCCGGCGGGGATGGGACCCGGGTTGCTCGCGTACTGCGAAATTTACAGCGAATGCTAACCATCTGAGCTACCACGGCTAAATTTTATAGATGTGTTTACAAATATTAAAATTTAAGTGCCTTATTTTAGTGTCCTACCCGCTAATCTTTCTCTTATTTTATTGAACTATTTTTCTGGGTCGCCTGGAAGAGGTTTCTATGCAGCAGTAAAACCGCTTGTTTCTTTTTTAAATAGAATAAGGGTAATAAACAAGCACACAGTCCACCTGATGGTAAGTGGATGCTGTGGCCCATAGTCATATATATTTAAACTCGATAAAGAATCAAAATGCAGATGCATTGTCACCCCTGAGGACTAAGATGGAATGCCTCAATTCCAGTAAAACGAGTCTCCGGTTCTGTATACTCACCATACGAAACACAGCAGCATTAAGTTGCTATTTCACGCTAGTATTATGTAAGAGCGTAGCCCTTCCCCGGTCGAGCCATTCATGCTACAACCATAATATAGCTGCAGCGTGGCTTTACCACGTATGGTTAAGCTTTTTGTTTTCCCCCTCGATATTTGTTTATATTTTTTTTACATTTATCATTAGTTATATTTTTATGTTTTTGTTATACTTATATGTGGAAGGGCCATACTGCAGGTATATTAGTAGTATAGTTGTAGCACGAATGGGTCGTCTCGACCGGGGAAGGACCACGCTCTCACAGAATACCAGCGACAAATAGTACATTAACAGTGCTGTGTTTCGTATGGTGAGTGTAGAGAACCGGAGACCCTTTTTACCGGAAATCAGGCATTCCATCTTAATCCTCAGGGGGTGACGACACATCTGCATTTTGATTCATAATCGAAGATAGATGTAAATGTCCGCAGCAATCATTGACCATCAGGTGGATGTGTGCTCGTTTTTCTCCCTATCTTTAAAAAAAGTAGTTGGTTAACAATTAAGAAGATTGTATTGTGTTTAATTTATATGTGTGGCGTATTTGTGATAATTTTTTCTATCTTTCCTCATTTTGATGGAATTTACTATACAATATTTTTGCCGTGGTAGAGCCATGCTGCAGTTATAATAGTAGTATAGTTGTATCACGAATGGATCGGCTCGACCGGGAAAGGACCACGCTCACACAGAATATCAGCTTCAAATAGTAGCCTAATGCGGCTGTGTTTGGTATGGTGAATGTAGAGAACCGGAGACCCTTTTTACTGGAAAAGTGGCATTCCACCTAAGTCCTCACGGATGACAACGCATCTGCATTATGATTCGAAATCGAGGATAGATTTAGATGTCTATGGGCCACAGCAATCATTTAGGTGGACATCAGGTGGACTGTGTGCTCTTTTGTCATCCTATTCTATAAAAAAAAAACAAGCGCAATATAGTAGCTTGATGCTGCAGTTCAAATGTAATTGGAAATAACCGGATACTGATTTTTGGACTGGACTGTTTTCTGATAACAAGGCGTTTCACCTTAATCCTGAATGCTGACAATAGATCTGTATTTTGATTTTAAGCCACGGTATCTAATGCCTAAAAATATCGAACGACGACCGTAATGTCATTGGTCTCTTGACTGTAATACACAGGGGTAATTAAGCGGAATTCAGTAACTCAGGCGCATATTACTGCGCCAGCTCATAGCATCTGTCAAAATAAAAACTTGTGGCACTTAAATGAAACAAAGTGTAAAAAGAAATTACCACCACTTTTACATTTCACCGATTTATTACACTAAGAATTTTCTTCCGCGTACGACCTGTCTGTGGAATAGTTTACTACCGGCGATTTATTTCTAAAGGGCCGGCAACGCACCTGCAATTACCCATATATATATATATATATATATATATATATATATATATATTATTAATGAATTAAATTATTCCTAAGATGCCATCTCGTGTCATGGAATATAGATTATGAAATTAATTTGTTCAGATGTGACATTTCTGTGGGTACTTAAGTATAGGACGAATATATTATTATACACATTTTTTGTAGAAATATATATAAGTTATCGTAATTAGGCTAAATCTTTTATATTTAAATCTGCTTGTTATTCTTTTATTTTATTTTCATCAAACATTTATTTACATCAAAGTCAAAGTGGAATAAATTCGTCCATTTTCAACTCTCGCATGCCCAGCATTTATGAACGGCTATTATTCTAATTTTAATAAATACATTTGTAATTTAAATATTATATTAATAAGTTTTGTTACACATACATTTAGTATGTTTTTTTGTATGACATACATACCTTTTAAAATATTGAGATAAAAATATCATTGAAATGTAATTGTGATATAATATTATATTAAATAAACAAATATAATATATAACATTAGAATAAGGCATTATTTCATGCATAGATTTTTTACATTCCTCGGCCCTTTTTTGTATAATCAAGTCAATGCAATTTTGTACATATATCCATTAAAAATGGCAGACTGTAAAAAAGGTAATTCGAACATGGTTGCAAAATTTGTCATACGATGATACGGAGAAGTTGCTGATTGTTTTAAGTTAATTAATATCATAAGTAAATTAATGATAATATATTTTACCCAAATAACCCTTATTAGTTAGTACGTTATTCATTTTATATAAGAAACAGAAAATATTTATTAATGTATCTTTTAGCACATACACCTGAGATACAGGTTTATCCTAGTTCAGGTGCCTGTTATTGTAGACTATTTTTAAATTAAGACTTATTGGAACAATTTGTACAGTTTGTCAAAATAAAATAAAAATAAATAAATAAAAAATAAATTCAACAATATAATCTACTACTAAAATCAACCGCGCGAACACAGAGTAGCGCACATTTTTTGTTTGAAATAGCTGTTCTAGTACGTAAGTATATATTAATTCAATATTAATTATATATATTTGTAAGCATATAAAATTATAATAAAAATTATAAACAATTTATTAGATTTCTAAATTACTACAATATTATCGGTTCATTAGGCGAAAGTTTTCAAACGGAAAATTGTGAATCAACATTTTCTTAATCTAAAGGTAAAAGCAAGAGTTTCACTTACCAAGCTTGTTGTTGCTGTGCTGATGCTGATGGTGATGTTGCTGTGGCGCTGCTTGCTGTGGTATCTGCTGCATCAGCGCGGGATGTGGCAGTTGCAGTAATTTCGGTTCCAGTTTGGTCGCCGCCGCAACTGGGATTGGTCCAGCGTTCGTCATCGTCGTCATAGTCGCCGCCGGCATCATTAGAGTCGACATTGTTAGCATTTTGTTTAACACCTTCTTTTGTCTCTACTGCTTTAAATCGACGCCATTCTTCGTCAGCGATGAGCTTTAGCGTTTCCTTTTTTAACACTTTTTTCTTTTCTATTATATAGTTTTCGAAATTCACATCAAGTACATAGCACTAAGTTTAAGAAGACTTTGTTTTTGTTTTGTTTGTTTTAAAATATACGTAAAAGTCTAAAATAGAATTTAAATTTTACTATTCTATAATGTCTGGAAAATAGGAAATAAGATTTATTATATAATCTATTCTAAATTTCAAGTTGTGGCCTTTTTAATTATTGATCATTTAAATTCTAACGCCTACATCGCTAACGCTGTACATCTCTTAATTGTGTAACTTCGAAACGACTACAATGATTAGGGTCGTATATTAACGCAATATATTTGTCTAAATGACGCTTCTTAGTTACGATCCGATAGATTGTACTGAGTCAACTTATTGGAAATTCGTTATTTACGGGTTAAATGATTATCGTGATAATCATGTTTCATGTCAAAAACCAAAATCAGAAAATATGGACACGTTAAGCGTCCACGGCACTATGATCGAGTTCTTATTAAATTTTATATATAAAAGGACTAGTTTTATGGATTTTATCAACCTGTCTATGTTTTAGTCCACCTGATGGAAAGTGGATCTAGTGGCCTATAGACATCTACATTTATCCTCAATTAAGAATCAAAATGCTGAAGCGTTGTCTATCCCTTGAGGACTAAGACGAAATGCCACGTTTCCAGTAAATACATCTACCGTTCTCTACACTCGTCATACGAAAGACAGCAGCATTAAGCTGTATTCTTTGAGAGTGTGGTCCTACCCCGGTCAATCGGACCCATTCGTGCTACAATCATATTATAGCTGCAGCGTGGCTCCACAACTTCTTATTTGAATTAGTGACGTTAAATAAAATAAATAATTTAAAAAATCAATAACCCGACTGCATAAAGATAATTTAAAAATAATGCACTTAAAAGACCGAAACAAGATTGCGAATCTATTTATTTATTTATTTACTTTATTGGAGACAAAACAGAAACAAAAGATATGAAAGAAAAATATACAAGTAAAATATGACAATGGTAATTACAATTGTTTCCTATAAGCTGTCTCACTAAGAACATACATAATATTTATATTATGAAGCAGGTCGTAATTGGTATCGTCTGCACAACAAGCAGGGTAACAAGTCTGTACTTAAATAAAAAGAAAACAATCATCTGAAAACAATCATCTAACATGTACAATAATAAATACTAAATATCCTTATATATCTAATTCATATTGCTACTAAAGTACTTTTTAATTTAGTTTTAAAAGCTGAACGGGAGATAGAGAAAATATCGATGTCGTTAAGCATTTTATTGTGGAGGACACACATTCTGTGTACTGGTGCTCTTTTACCAATGTTGGTCCTGGTTTTTGGTATATGAAATAAATTTTTTGATCGTGTGTTTTTGGGTGGTATTCGAAACCTTACCTCGGATAATAACTGTGAACACTTAATCTCACCAACACAGATATTCCTAAAAGTAGTGGCGTCGATTAAAGTGCGTCGGTCTTTTAATGACAGCATTTGATATTTTGTTAAGAGATTTTCATAGGAAACGCGAGGTGAATGCATTCGATAGTTAACAATACGTAAGAATTTCTTTTGGACCTTTTCTATTTTATCTTCATAAACTGAGTAGAATGGATTCCAAACGGGGGACACATATTCTAGATGAGATCTAACTAATGACTGATAAAGGCAGGTAAGAGTATCTTTGTGTTTAAATGATTTTGTTATACGTGTAACGAAGCCTAGCATTCGGTAAGATTTATTCAATATTTCCTCGATGTGCCTATCTAGTGTGAGTTTGGTATCTAAATATACTCCAAGATCACGTATACTAAATTCTGATACAATTTTGTGACCACCTAAGTAAAAGTCCGCGTGTACTACATTTTTGTTCCTAGTATATGTTATGTGTTTGCATTTATTATGAGCCAAGAATAATTTATTAATTTTACAATAGTTTTCAAGTCTATCGAAATCGTTTTGTATTAATTTTATGTCGTCAGGTTTAGTAACGGCAGAGTATAATTTTAAGTCATCGGCGTATAATAAGAATTTACAATGGTCAAAGCAAGTTGAAATGTCATTAATAAATAGGATAAAGAGGAGTGGTCCCAGTATTGATCCCTGTGGTACGCCAGATGTTACTACAACGGGTAAGGAAATGTAGCCATTAAGCACTACCGACTGTATGCGGTTTTGTAAATAAGAAGCAAACCAACGTAGAAGATTACCTTTGATACCATTGTAGGAGATTTTTTTTAAAAGTAGCATGTGATCAACTTTGTCGAATGCTTTTTCGAAATCGGTGTATACAGTTTCAATCTGAGATTTATAGTCTAAACTATTAAAAATAAAGTTAGTAAAAACAAGAAGATTTGTCAGTGTAGACCTGCCATTAACAAAGCCGTGTTGTTCCTCTAATAATGTATTTTTCAAAATTGAATATATATGATCGTGAATAAGTTTCTCAAAAATTTTAGGAATAGCCGAAAGAATTGATATGGGACGGTAATTTTCTACGTTGTTCTTAGAACCTGATTTGTGAATAGGTGTAATGTATGCTTGTTTCCATTGAGTTGGAAATGTTCCAGTTTCCAAACATTTGTTAAAAATTATATTGAGCGGCATGCAAATTGTATTAGAAGTGTGTTTTAAAAACACTGGCTTTATTTTGTCAGGTCCAGCGCCTTTGTTTGGATCAATGTTTTTTAAAGCAGTGCAAACTTCCAACTGTGTGAAACGTATGTCATGTAAGTTTATTCCAGTAAAATTATCCTCTAAGTGTTGAGTTAATGTATATGCATTGTCTGACAACGGTTCAAATACGGATTTAAAATGATGTGAAAACATTTCAGATATTATTTTTGGGTCGTCTGAAGTTTTGGTTCCCAGCTTCATTACTTGAGGATATCCCGTATTTGTTTCCCTTATATCTGAAGTATATTTCCAAAAGTATTTTATATTATCCTTTATTGAAGACTCAACGTTCTCTATATATTTATTGTAACATTTAATTAAGAGACGTTTAGCACGTTTTCTTAATAGGGAGAACTCTTGATAGTCACGTAACGAATTGTACGTTTTCCATCGTGCCCACATTTTAGATTTACGCCTAAGTGTATAAATTAAGCTATTAGAGAACCACTTAGGGAATCTATTGGTTTTAACTTTGATAAGTGGTACATAAGATTCAATAACATGCATAATTTTGTTATAAAATTTGTCAACTACAGTGTCTATACAAGAAGAACTGAGTTCAGAAACCCAATCAGTCTCTGATATAGCAGTATTAATTTGGTCATAGTTTGCTCTGTAAAAGTTTCGTTTTGTTTTCTGGTTGGTGGGCATGTACTTGGATTGAGTTGTTTCATAAAAAATGTCCAGCGGAGGATGGTGAGGAACGGCTTTTAAGAGTGGATCATCAGAGATATTAACTGAACAATCAGGTGAGTTGCATAAAACAAGATCAAGAATTCTACTGTTTTCGTTTTTTAATTTATTTATTTGTTTCAAATTCATAAAGGCCATAATATGAGACAATAATTTAGCTGTATCAGTAACTGCATTAACAGGTCTCAAGGATGGACCATCAGATGACCATTCCAGGTAGGGTAAATTAAAGTCACCAGTAATAATGTAATGTGAGAATCTAAAACAAAATGAAAATAAACTACAAACAAAGTAACTACTTCGGTTCGGACTATATTATGAACTGAAAAACTAAGTTCAATACCTGCATTAAGTTTAATAGCAAGCGGAAGCCTTTAATTTTCTGTCGATTTAAAATTTGTAATTTGGCCTTCTTACTTCATTGACAGTCAGTTAAAATCATTTTTTTTATGTTTACAGTGTAAAAAAAATGATGTAGCGAAAATTGACTGAAAATAATATTTGTATAGAATATTTTTATAGGAAAAAATCTTTTTCCATAAAAATATTGTATGGGATATAGAGAACTACACTGACGGATAACGAGATGGTCACTAATATTGGCATGGTATACTAATGTTGTTATTAGAGCAAAGTCTATGCGAGCAATGCCGCGGAATTATAAAAGAAGTGTGATTATAAAAAATTATAAAAAACATTCAAATCTACTTACTAGTGTTTTTTGAGACTCCTATAAAATTATTCTTAAACTTATTTTCTGTGTATTTATACACATACACAAACAAACAACAAAACAAACACCCATGCACACAAGCAAGCACGCGCGTATGTGCGTACATATACATCGCTCACTTCGCCTTTTGCTTGATACTCTGATCATAATACCAGTGTAAGTTGTGATGAATAATTAATGTTATTGACGTGCCGACCTTTATTCCTATCATCATCATTACAGCCTTTCACAAGTCTACTTCTGAACACAGCACAAAGTGGTGTCACAAAGCATGGTCCTGAGCCCTACAAAGTTGACATAACGTCTAGTTGGGAAACGCCCTACACCTCGTCTACCGATACGAAGCTGCCACGCGAGAATCTTTCTTCACTATCGGTTGTCGGTTTTTCAAGCTATATTCCCTATATCTAGTATATTATACTAATGTTAGAGGGTTTTTAAAATACTAAAGTAAGAAAAAAATAATACCGAAAGTACGGGCTTCATAAAATCAACAGCTCATTTGAAAGTAGATTTATACCTATTTATAATATAAATAATATATATATGTCATCCCTTTCTATTCAGATGCCTGTTAATATTAATCGACATGTAACGTCATCGAAGATTAGCTTCAATTTATTGTCACTTCCTGAATCATTCTTTGACCTGACCTTGTCCCAGTAAACCAAAAAGATATTATAGATCTACAGTTGTTTTTTGTTTATATTCTACGCGAACATAGTCGCAGGTAAAAGCTAGTTTGTAATAATAAAATGCTAACTTCGTTTAAATTTTACGTCTCAGAAGCATGTGCTCTCGTAGTTTAAAACCGCATGCTATGAAACGAGCATCGTTACTTATTTATATATATATTACGTATATCAACCGATCAAAGCTGAACTGTTTGAAACTTTCTGCATATTTTGAGAACTTAAGCGTGCCCTTATGCGATGAAATATTAAACTATTCCTCAACTCAGTTCCTTTGAAGATACGCAGTACTTCGTAAAGTCTCGGATGGAGATGCATATGAATTATGAAGTGAGTTTCCAGAGGGTTAACATATAGACACAATACTTTAGTTGAAGTACGTCTTTGCTTGGAGAGTAGGATCATTAAATTTATTCTTTTACTAGCTTTCAAATAAATTTAAGTGACATCCGAAGTTTATTAACGTAAATACTTATTAGTAATTAGTACACAGTTCACCTGTTAGTAAGTGCACCCTGTGACCCGTAGATATCTACCCTCAATTAGAAATCACGATACAGATGTAACGTCACCCTTGAGTTCTACATACATACATAAACACTCACGCCTGTCACCCAGAGGGGTAGGCAGAGACTACAGACTTTCATTTGGCACGATCCTGACACACCTCTCTCGCCTCCTTCACATCCATACACCTCCGCATACATGCTCGTCGGTTAAGGGTACTCCTAATTTGGCCCGTTTTCAATAAATCGCCAATTTGGTCTCCGGTCTCCGGTTCTCTAAACCAAGATACAAATATGACGTCACCAGGACTAAGATGAAATGCCTTGTATCCAGTATAAAGTGTTTCCGGTTCACTATATTTACCATACGAAACACAGCGGTATTAAGCTGCTATTTTACGCTGGTGTTCTTTGGTCACAGTTATACTGGTCTTATAACGTCCTCCAGACCGAATTTCGACTAAGATTAACAATCTACGCAGCACAGGATTATACACATTGTGCATGAGTGTAAAGTGTTACCATTCTCATATCTCGATGGGATAGCAATCCGACGCGAGCAGAGAGAGAGATATAAGGTGCAGAACCAATGGCTTTACCTGCTTTCCGAGGAACGAGGGTGAAACATCGTCAACTTTCTAACTCCAACAGACGGACAGGTATACACTCAGAAAGAAATCAGAATGAAATTAATATTGCTCCGTTTTATCCTTTGGCCACGGATCTTTTAATATGCCACACTCAACCAACCTTTTTACGTGGTAGAGCCATGCTGCAAAAACAGAAACAGAAACAAAAACTTTTTTTTTCAATGTAGATTGTAAACAATACTTACTGAAAGTCACTTTATTCATTTACCACTGGTTCGCAAAAAAAACCTCTGTCCTGGGAAGAACCAACATGAAACCCAGCTGGACTATTTTTTCAAATAATAGCTTACAATCATGTTTACAATTAACAACATAAGACTAATTAAAAGTAGCTTGGTAGCTTGGTAAAAGTACTATGGTTGTAGCACGAATGGTTTAGAGAATCGGAGACCCTTGTTAGTGGAAACGTGACGTTCCATCCTTGTCCTCTGCATTTTGATACTTAATCGAGGATAGATGCCATCAGCCATCAGGCGGACTGTTTGCTAGTTTGTCATCATTATTCTATAAAAAAAACCAAGCCTTAGACTTTGTTTAACTCATAAAAATTTTACTATACCAACGGAAAAAAATTTTCGAGAAAAATTTAAGAACGTACACTAAGCCCCTCATTACGCGAAAGTTTTTAAACTTTTTTAATACTTTTGCTTGATAGTTATGAATTGCATGCCACTGCTAACTTTGCCTCGCTTCTGGGTTTTTTCGCTTAAGCGCTGCTTGTATTCAATGCAGCTATTAAAAGGCCGATAGTTGATTTTTTTAAATAAGCCTACGTAGGTTGTTTTTCATATTTATAACCGATGGTGCGCCTGATAGTGATCTTATACAATTGTTTATAGGATAGGGTGACAAACGAGCACACAGTCCACCTGATGGTAAGTGGTTGCTGTGGTCCATAGACATCTACATCTATCCTCGATTACGAATCAAAATGCACATGCGTTGTCACCCGTGAGGACTAAGATGGAATGCCTCGTTTCGAGTAAAAAGGGTTTTAGACTACTATTTTACGCTGGTATTCTGTGAGAGCCTGGTCCTTCCCTGATCGAACCGACCCATTCGTGCTACAACTATGCTACTAATATAACTGCAGCATGGCTTTACCAGTACGCGACTTAACTGATTCAGCTATAATTATTCTCACATTTTTGTTTATAAAGTAAGCCGACAAACGAGCACTATCCAATGGAGAGTAGGAAGATGCCGTGACTCATAGATATCGACGTTGTCACTCTAGAAGAATGCGCAAACGTTTTGGCTATATTTTGTTTTGCCGTGGCGATTGCATGTAGCTATTCTAGAATCCGACAGGTAGCGCTGTAGTCACCGTTAGCGTTACTGTTTACAACCATTTGCATCATAGGGACAATTTGCCACAGTCGCCACGCCTGGCAAGTGGGTTGGCGACCGCAGTTTTTATTTTTAGTCCTTATTAGGAAAACGCATCTGCCCATCTCTCTTTATCATCTCCTGCTTTGTTTTCATCTGTAGTCAAGTTATAAACAAATAACTTCTACATTTATAACCCGATATGACTCTTATTCAAAAATAAAATTACTAAATCTGAAATCAATAGATGGCGCTGTGATCCAGTTATACATTATATATATATATAGAGCCGTGATAGCTCAGTGGTTAACGCTCGCTGTAAATATAACAGAACGCGAGAGTAACCCGGGTTCGATCCCCGCCGGCACCAATGAAATTGTTAATTGCAATTTTAAGTGCTGATTTACCACGTGCTCGGCGGTGAAGGAAAACATCGTGAGGAAACCTGCATGTCTGAGGAATAAGAAAAATATTTCGAAGACATGTGAAGTTCGTCAACACGCATTTGGGCAGCGCGGCGGACACTTCCTTGCCCTAAACCCTCTCAGAAATGAGGGGGAGGCCTGAGCCCAGAAGTGGGACGTATATAGGCTGTAACTTTACTTTACTTTATATATATATATATACTGTAGAAAGTCCAAATTGAATTTAGAGTGAAACTCCTATGAAATGAATGATTTTATTCAATATAGATTATTGTATAATACTTATTGAAAGACAACAACGTCAGCTAGGCCAGTTAGGTATATAATCACACTTATAGTCTTTGCGTTGCGTTTTAGCGTTTTGCGGGTGATGTACTATAAAGTAAGTAACGGTAAAAATGTCCAAGATATGACAAAAATCATTGACTACGAGCAATAACACTTTGTTTTAATTGATTTCTCTATTCTGTTGTAGCTATTGGGTTAAAATTAACGTCAACTATTCTTTTTATATGAATAAAATTATAAAAGTATAATTTTATTTTACTTGCGTGTGCAATTACTTACTATATGCTCTATGTTTATCAGCGGTATTTTCTTAAATTAAGAACAAAAAATAAGTAAGATAACTCTATTTTAGCAATACCGTGATATTCATATATAACTAAATTTAAGTAGCTTAATTCATGAACAAAAACAAATAAACAAATAAACTGGTAAAATTAAGAAAAAGGAAAAAAAATAGTTTTATTTTTATTTCGCCATTTTGTTTTTTCCGCTTAAAGTAACCTCGAAGGCGAATAACTAACGCGCTCTGTTGACTCGCTTTGATACTTTTTTTGTACCTTTTCGCATTTTAAATAAACAAACTCAACAAATAGCAAAAATTAACTCAACAAAACACAACAATAAACTCAATAATCGAAAGAAAAAGCAATATATATATATATATATATATATATATATATATATATATATATTCAACTCGAAATTACAAAACGGCCGAGTAGTAGGTACTTCACACAAAGCGCTAGCCACTAGCATAGATTATACACATCAGCGTTGCCAGGCGTGCCAATTTGCGTTGGATGTCCCAATCAGGGGTCTGGTGACAGGATTTGCTTGATCTTGATCTTGATCGGGATGCCAAATGTCCCGATTCTTACTTATCTCCTTAGTTCCTGCCATAGAAAACTATAATACATACATAACAGAACGAGGGAGTGGGCGGAGCCCGCGTAGTCACTGAAGTGTCACTAACACGTCAATTCATACGTATAAATGTCAACACGAGATGTGTTTTGACGTTACAATCGTTTCCAAATTTCGCATGCAAACTATTTAGAAAATACCAAATTGCAGCCTATTTACAAATTTTTATGTATTAAAATTTATTGATGACCTTGAACATTAATCAAAAATCTAAAATGTGTAAATTTACTCAGTCTGTCAACACAGCGAATCGGGTTTGGCGACGCCAATCCTCGTATAAAATAAAGTTGACAGCCATTCTATTGTGTATTATAGTATTCTATGGTTCCTACATATCTTACCACGTCGTCACTCCATCTAGTAGGAGGCTGCCACTCAAGAACCTTTCTCCTTTTCACGTAGTAGAGCCGCGCTGCAGCTATATTATGGTTGTAGCATGAATGGATCGGCTCGATCGGGGAAGGACCACGCTCTCACAGATTACCAGCTTCAAATAGCAGCTTAATGCTGCTGTGTTTCGTATGGTGGGTGTAGAGAACCGGAGACCCTTTTTTACTGGAAACGAGGCTTTCCATCTTAGTCCTCACGGGTGACAACGCATCTGCATTTTGATTCGTAATTGAGAATAGATGTAGATGTATATGGGCCACAGCAACCACTTACCATCAGGTGGACTGTGTGCTCGTTTGTCACCCAATCCTATAAAAAAAACGGGACAATTTGAGAATTGACAGTGACAATTTTTTATATTAATTGATAAAGGACGAATAAAAAAGTTCCTATAACTTTTTACGATAATGTTAATATGAATTTTTAAATGTTTGAAAAATCTCAAATTCACATACTTTTGACTCATTAAAATCAATCAATCAAGTTCTGATTTGAGGAAAAACAAAGTCAAAAACTCATAGCGGCCAAAATGGCTACAAAAAACCTGTTATTTTTTATTTTATTACATTTGTAAACCAAATTCTCGATTATCTGGTGGCACGGCAGTGCCTCCGCCAAGTCGAGATAAAAAGCGGCACGGTCGTACCATACTTTTCTCGAAGCAGTTCAGGCCAATTTCGACCTGGCCGATGTGGCCAAGTCAATCTATATATTTAAAACATAAAAGATTTTTAACATTGATATGGTCACTATAAGATGTTGTTAGGTTAGCTAATTACGTAATAACTTAAAACAGAAGGACCCTTAAGTAGGGATTGAATAAATTAACCGACTTGGTATTACATGGATCTCACAACTTTTTACGGTAGAAGAACTGAGTTGCGAGACTTGGTTTTTTTACAAGTTATGTTTTTGATGGCATTTTTACTTTTTGTCCCAATATTTGATCTACTGGACCTGGCAACACTAATACACATATTAGCGAAAGGCGCTAGCACTCATACCCTGAAAAGCTGCAGGTGTAGTCAACGCCGTACTGAAAATCACAGGTGCTGGCCAGTTATTTTATTTTTTTAAATGTCAAGATAAATGTTGCAATTAACATAAAATAGAAGATGATTTTAATTTTGAAATTAATACATAGTATAATGTGTAACTATAATTTCATAATTTGTAATAAACTGTAACTAAAATTTAAATGCATTTATTTTAATAGAAATATATGTTCCAGTTTTAATTTTTATATTGATAGCTAATCGATAACTTTTGCTTTGCTTTTTATATCGTTAATCGACTTTTTTAAATCGATTTAATATTGTCAAAACTAGACACCCTAAATTGTAAGCTGTCACCCACACCATGCTATAACGCACGGTGCGGGAAAAGACTATAGGCAATTTATGTACGAGTAAATTGTATCTGGACGAATATTCAGAGGATTCAGACATAAAAGTGATAAAAATGTCTAAAAGTTTTTTGTCCACTTACCATCAAATGCACTGTGTGACCGTTCGACACCCTTAGTATATAAAAAAGCCAAGTGTGCTATACTTATTAATTAGATAGTAGTTAAACATTGGCTTATAAGTTAAAAAAAAAGAAAAAAGTCGTAGTTCAATACAGCTGGTCACATTTATTACATCTTGGCGGGAGTGCTCGCTACGTACCCTCCCGCTGTGAGCTTAGTAATGCTTTTCACTCGTAACGAGTCCCTGCAGGCTTTCACTTCTTAACTTAGTTTTTTATTATAGTACATTAGGTCTAACACGTCTAGGAATGTAGGAAACTATAGGGCGTCTACTTTATTTCTGCACAATTGGTTTGAGACGTTTTTAAAATATCATCAGTAATGCAAGTTGTTAATGGATTATTGGTGATGGGGATAGTGCATGGCATTGAGGGAGGGTGGGAGTGGAATGTGCTCTTTAAAGTAGCAAAACACATAATTTTATTTAATTACCCGGATTTTAGCAAACTGATTTTTGACAACTTCAATACAATGGATTTCCGTAAAGTAACGCTTATTTCTATTAATATAATATAAAATAATGTCCTCAAACCCGAATTTTGGTCTAGGTGGTCAAGAAAATGGCTAGCCTACGTCTCAACGTAGGTTAGCCATCTTCCTAAATTGGCAGGCGCAGGTGTACTCTCTATTCCTTTACTATCATAGTCCGATTGGACAGTAATACGATACGATCGGAGTGAGGTCGAGGGGTGAGTCACTGTCAACTTTCTGAATCCGGGTTTCTACTACGAATTTCTTTGCAGAAATACCAAATTACCGCTTTTGGCTTGATTCAGGATTCAAACCCGGTATCGCATGATCATCAAATTGCATGCACGAGCATTATATCAGCGAGGCAATCAATAAAATCAATCAAGTCAAGGCAGTCAACATAAATGTGCTCAACGTAACCCTAAAAACATTCCTATTCAATTGAAACGAGGCGTTCCATCTTAGTCTTCAGGGGTGACAACGCATCTGCGCTTTGATTCTTAATCGCAAACAACTGTAGATATCTGTGGGCCACAGCATCTACTTACCATCAGGTGGACTGTGTGCTCGTATGTCACCCTTAATCTATATTAAAATCTGTATGCAGTTCCCACGCGGTAAAAGTAATACCTTCAGAAAAATACTATGTACTGTATTCTATCTCATTCTATCACAGGCAAAATCCTATAGATGTAGATGTTTGTCTCTTTTTATTGTTGCCTTGACGTTTCATCGAATTTCAAATCACAAAGATTCTAAAGAAATTTTCGCTTCAAAAAACTTCTAACTTAACGTTTCATGTACTGACAAAAAGGTTAGAAGGCATGTCCCATCATAACTTAGTTTCTCTGCGCGTCCTCTCCAAATATCTCACACGTATAACACAAAATTCACGAAATAAGCCTAAATGAGTTGGAATTTCAACCCTTTTTATGCGACTCAACGTTTTCGAGTAGCGTTCGCAAAAAAAATTGAAGAAAATAAAAATAAAAATGTAAAAACTCAGTATTCGAATCCAGTGGTCGTTATTTCAATGCGAGTGTATTTTTTCGAAATGTCCTTAATTTTTTATAAATAAAGTAGCTTTCAGTGGAAATCGTTAACGTGAATGAAAGCAACGTGTACTGCGCGACTTATAATCATCGTCATTATTACAGTCCATCACAAGTCTACTACTGGATATAGGCGTCCTGTATGTAACATATAATCTAGATTTTGAAAATTTTGCAGTATGTCTACATATTCAGGATCGCTCAACCATAACATCAGATTTGATACACCAAAAATCTTATATTAGGAATTTAGGATATTAGGAAAACATTGATTAACACTACTTTTACGGATTTTATCGCGTTTAATTTTAATTTAAATTATTTTATTTTTAATTCCCAAAGTTTCAGGTGCTTTCTAGCACCCATGGTCACGGAGGAGTGGCCATGGGTGCTGGAAAGCACCCGAGACGTTGGGAATTAAAAAATAAAATAATTTAAATTAAAATTAAACGCGATAAAATCCGTAAAAGTAGTTTTAATCAATGTGTAGTGTTCGCGTAAATATAAGAAATCATTATTAGGAAAACATTTAAATTTCAATAGAATTGATGACTGGGTGTTAAAATGTACTTGGAATCCTATAATATGATAAATGATATAATATTTTCTTTTATTCATGAGCATCAATGGGTTTGTCTCAGGGTTCAATTTACCCCCCGAACGGGTTCCCGCCTTGTCGTGGCGGGGGGCTTAGAAGCCGTGGCTTGGTCACCCACGGCGAAACAAAGAGGAACCCATATGGCTGGTCCGAGGTGGAGGGCCGGCCCGAGGTGGCCACTCCGAGTGGGCTTGGGAAGCCCACTTCGGGTGTGTGTTGGTGGACTGCGGTGAGAGGTGTGTCCTCCCAATCTACCGCTGCAGCCGAGGTGGAGTCGCGGAGGAAGAGGAGTGTTGGTATGGCGATGCGCCGCTCGCCCTATCCTCCGCGACTCAAACGGGGCCGCACCGTTGATGCGGTGGTGATGGGCTGCGGGGGGAGAGGATTGTCGGTATTGCGAGGCGCCGCTCTCCCTATCCTCCGCAGCCGAATCTTGGTTGGCGGCGGAGCCATAGACCAGATCCGCCGCTGGGGTCGGGAAGGCTAGTACTTCTAAGTGCTCGTTTTTCCTGGCCCCATGGCCTTCGCGCATCGGACGCGGGGGCGTCTGTTGCGTAGATGTAATTGGAGGTCGTGGAGGAAGGCGTGCCATGTGTTCTGGTGCGCCTTACTTGGGAAGGAGAACGGGGAGGAATATTCCTCTCCCGATGAGGTGCTGCCATGGGGCGGCAGTCGCTGGTGGGGCCGCGGATGTGTGCGAAAGCGTTCCCGTAGCCCTGCCAATATGCGACGAAGGTGGAACACCATGGGGTTTTAGTCGGTGCGAGTCCGACATAACCCGTCCTTGCCCCCGCGAGGTGGTTATGCGTAGGCATTTCCCCATGTTAAAAAAAAGGGTTCAATTTAAGGCCCGTTCCTGTCCCTTGTCTATACTAACGACTTATTTGCTTAGTAAAGGATAACTATTACTATAGGATATAAGCACTCACGCCTGTCACCCAGAGGGGCAGGCAGAGAATACAGACTTCCATTTGGCACGATCCTGATACACCTCTCTCGCTTCCTCCACATTCATATACCTACGCATACAAGCTCGTCGGTTAAGGCTACTCCTGATTTGGTCCATTATCAATATATCGCCAATATGGTCGATAAACTTTCGCCTATGATGCCCCTTTCCGACTCTTCCATTCACTTCTCCAACATAAATTTGCTTTGTCACTCTTTCCTCATCCATTCTTTCTACATGACCAAACCACCGAAGCATTCCTTTGTTAAACCTGGTCACAGCATGATCTTGCAAACCATATTTTTCTTTTATCACACAATTTCTTACCCTGTCACTCAGATTCAACCCTAACATACTCCTTAGCGATCGCATTTCTACTGCATTTATTTTACTCTCGTGCTTATTCTGCGACACCCAAATTTCACTATCATACGTTAAAGTAGGGACTAAAACAGCATTGTGAATGCACTATAGGGTCTTATGACTAATAAAATAAAATCCAAAGCCAAGCTTACTATATAAATATATAGCATATCATTTTGCGTAGATTGGACCAAACATTTATATTTAATAATTGAAGATAGCCTTCATTATTTTCGACATCAGGACGTCAAACGACTTAGTCTCACCCATGAGTATGGTTGCTGTAAAGCGCCTAAATGAAAAGAATTAAAGATTTGGAATTAAACGTCATGAAGTTTGTAAAGTTAGTTTTATTCGTAATCGTCTAAATCTAATGGGTTTTTGTCTACACAACTAATTTCGTATAGAAGCTTGGTACCTTCTATTCCAAATTAGTTGTCCCTTTTCGAGCTACATGGCTAGCCTATTACCCTTAATTATTGCCCTACTACTATTTCCTCTTAACTATGTCAGCCAGTTTTGTTTTCTTCTTCATCAGCCAGCAAAAATCCACCGCTGGACATGAGCCTCTCCTGTTAAAGAGAGAATTTGACTCAATTGTCACTTTGACATGCGGATTGACAATTACAGTGTCAAGCGTATTCAAAAATAACAAACTTTTTGGACATTAACAAATTACATACCTTATACTATACTTATACCACATACCTTATACTATACCTATTCTATACGACTGCCTCGTTGGTCTAGTGGTTGTAGGAGTGCGACTGCTGGTTAAGGTCCTGGGTTCAAATCTAGGGTTAGGCCAAAAAATAAATTATTGTGTTTTTCCGTCAAGAAATTCTCAGTAGCTGCCCGGACTCAGGAAGTTGGCGGTGTCTTAGAGCCGTGCCTCGGAAAGCACGTAAACGTTGCTTCTGCGCCTGATCGCTCTCCGGTCGTGTCGGTATACCGTCCTATCGGATTATGAGATTGAGGTAGTAGAGAGTGCACCTGTGCTTGCGCATTCACTAGGGCACTATAATCCTGTCCTGCGCCGATGGCTAGTCTACGTTGAGGCAGGCCACCGTGACCGAAATTTTACAAAATTTATAATTAATAAATACATGAATAAAATAACCCCTCGGAATGAGGTGCAAATCTTACAAGTGGTTTTATATTAAAAAAAGCAGACTGGGTTTATTGCTTGTTCTTTCCAGTATAAAGAAATATTCCGAAGCAGTGGCAAATAAGAAAAGTAGACTTTCTTTTGTGTAAACGTTTTTAATTAAGTTAGTGAATGCGTTTGTACTATATAATTAAAATCTTGATGTGTCTGAGAATTTTGCACTATGCTTAATATTTTCAGTTTCGTCTAAAGATAAACTAAGAGAGAATGCATTGGGCACTAAGTTCACCTTTTTGTACTGAAGAAATAATCAATATTGATAAAAATACGTAGTAGAGACTCTCTGTAGCTATATTATAGTTGTAGCACGAATGGGTCAGCTCGACCGCAGAAGGACCACGATCTCACAGAGTACCTGCGTAATGCTGCTGTGTGTTCGTATGGTGAGTGTAGAGAACCGGAGACCCTTTTTACTGGATCGAGATGTTCCATTTTAGTTCTCAGGGGTGACAAAGTACTTGCTTTTTGTTTCTTAATTGAGAATAAATGTAAATGTCTATGGGCCACAGCATCCACTTACCATCAGGTGGACTGTGTGCTCATTTGTCACCCAATGCTATAAGAAACCAGGAGATGGGCAGCGTCTTTGTCAGCCAACTCCTCTGCCAGGCTTAGCAACAATGCAAAATATCCTCCTAACATGAAATCAATGGGGGGGGGGGGATATGTTCAGCAGTGGATTGGAGGGGCTGTAAAGAAAATCTGTATTGAAGAAAGAAATATTCTTGTCGATTCTGTTTTGCTGTCCGTACATTTAGACAGTGCTCATTCCTACACGAACATTAAAAAGCGAATGTGTCGCATACGTGGCGCGCGTAAAGTTAAATTGCTAGATTCTTCCTACGCTATGATACTTAAGCCGCTTTCCCGAGCAACGTTAACGCTTACGGTTCCATTGCTGACACAAAAGACATTTCTGCTTACAACTATGTTTCAATTACGAGTAATGTAATAAAAAAGTTTTGTGTAATCGGGGAGAAGTGTGTTTGTATCTTGCGAGATGTGACGCTTTGTAGGGTAGTTGAACAAAGCTAATGGTTTGAAATCTCACATAAAATTTAATATGGAATAGGACTTATTGTAATTGCGTCAAGTTTTTTAAGTTTAAATTTAAAATATAGTCTACAAACAAAAAAGGAACCATCATAGCTATAGGGCTAAGCGTTCTCTGTAAATTTTATAGTACGTAAGACGAGGACTCTATCAAACCAGCACCAATAAAATTATTAATTGCAATTTTAAGTGCTGATTTACCACTGGCTTGGTGGTGAAGGAAATCATCGTGAGGAAACCTACAAGTCTTAGAAATTAAAATACTAATTTCGTAGATATATGCGTCCGGCAGTACAGTGGGCATTTCTTTGCCGTAAAACCCTCTCGGAAGTTAAAGAAGAGAGACGTACCTGAAACTTCTGTAACTTTCCTTGTACCCATAATTAATTTGTACACACAAAATGTATTAGCTTACTTCACATGTGGTAATATTCCAAAAATAATATATTTCTATTTGTTGTACGTGTTAAAGCCACGCTCCACTGTATTAGCTGTAGCAAGAATAGGTCGGCTCGACTGGGAAAAGATTACGCTCGCACAGGAAAACCGCAGCTTAATACTGCTGTTTCGTATGTTGAGTATAGAGAACCGGCGAACCTTTTTGACAGGTATAGATGTTGATATCTATGAGTCACAGCATCTACTTACCATCAGGTGGAATATGTGTTAGTTATTCACTTAATACCTTTTCATTAAATATGTCTTAATTTAGGGGAAGTCCCATAGAAATTTGGAGAAAAAGTACTAGCCCTAAAAGTGGGAAAATAGTCCATGAACCTTTTAATGGGATTGTTTAAGCGAATATGACTTTGAGCTTTTGAAGCCGGAGCTTTTATTTTTTTATATACCGTGTTTGAGCTTCGACCTTAAGAGCTATGTGAGAAATATTTTAATCTTTTTATTTATTTCAAGCCAGCTTTATCATTTTTTTTGACATTTTTATTTACAAGCATATTAATTATGCTAATAACCATTTTATATATTCCGTATCCTGTACTCAAGCAGCCATCAATGCGTAAAGAATATTATAAAAAAAAATATGAGTATAAAAGTACAAAAAGATACTGCACATTTTTAATTTAAATCTAATCAAAGTAACCAGCTAAAAGAAGTAAGCAAATATAATCCGTGTACTAAAGAAACGAGACTGGCATAAAATTTTATTTCGTTTGAAATTTATTTTCATTTATTTTTTATAGAATAAGGATAACAAACAAGCATACGGTCCGCCTGATGCTAAGTTAATGCTGCGGCCTCAAGACATCTGCATCTATCCTCACTTTTAAGAATGTATTTTTATAGGAGTGGGGGCAAACTAGCATACGACTCACCTGATGGTAAGTGATTATCAGCGCCCATGAACAACTGCAACACCAGGGAAATTGCAGATGCGTTGTCGGCCTTTTAAAAAGGAGTAGGCTCTTTTCATGAAGGTCCCAAAATCGGTCCGGAAAAATGCTAATGTGTTGTCACTTATGATAACTAAGATTGAAAACTTCGTTTCCAATAAAAAGGGTCACGGGTTTTCTACACTCACCATACGAAACACAGCAGTACTAAACTGCTATTTAAGGTGCTATTATGTTAGAGCGTGGTACTTCCCCGGTCAAGCAATCAAGCAGATTCATTCGTGTTATGACAATAGCTTGTACTCTTTCTTTTTTAATCATCAAATCCTTGAAGACAAATGCTAGTAACTTAGGGCTAATCAAATCATTTGGTTCGAACGCGTGTTAAGTCGACAAATAATAGGCGGCAACTGGCCGAGAGTCTGGTTGTCCAATGGTGGATGGGAGAGGAAGGAATAAAGTCATACGATTCCTGCGCACTTTATCCGAAATATATCCTGTAGGTAACTAAGAGATTGGCTACTTTGCGCCCGTGTTTATACGTGGTGGAGCCATGCTGCAGCTATATTATGGTTGTAGCATGAATGAGTGGAGGAAAATGAGGATATCCGCAGTAGAACCAGAGTGATCGACATAGCCGAACGGATTAGTAAGCTGAAGTGGCAACGGGCCGGCCATATAGCTCGAAGAACCGATAACCGATGGGGAACAAAGGTTCTCGAATGGCAGCCTCGTACCGGTAGGCGTAGTGTAGGGCGACCCCCCACTAGATGGAGTGACGACCTGGTAAGACATGCAGGAAGTCGATGGATGCAGGTTGCTCAAGACCGTGCTTTGTGGCGTTATCTGGGGGAGGCCTATGTTCAACAGTGGACTTGTGAAGGGCTGTAAGGATGATGATGATGATGATGATGAATGAGTCGGTTTGACCGGGGGAAGACCACGCTCTCACAGTATACCAGCTTAAATTAGTAGCTTAATGCTGCTGTATTTCGTATGGTGAGTGAAGAGAACCGGAGACCCTTTTTACTGGAAACGAGGCATTTAATAAAGAGGAGTTCCGTGGGTGTAGTAAGAGGTTAAAGCACGATATTACAACAGAAGATAAACACCAGCATCTTTTTGATGATAACAACTCAATACAATAAAAGTTTGCAGTCGTCCACCAAGTCCCCGGAGCGTGGCAACTATGGCAAAGTCGTAACTTGAGGCAATCCATGCGGGAGGCCTATGTTCAGTAGTGGACTTCAATAGACTGTAATGAATGGATGTATAGAAGATAATCTACCAGGAGCACATGACCCACTGAGAGGTGAAATTATTAAATCAACAGTAACATTACAGCTGATTTCTTAAATTTACGCGAACACTAATCATTGAATGAAACTAAATTTACGGATTCTATCGCGTTTAATTAATTACTTTTACATATTTTTAATTCCCGACGTTTCGGTATCGGTAAGGAAGATTTGGAGGCTATACGTCAAGATATTTCGTCCTTGTTACGTCGTAGTGCAGTGCCGAAACCAAAACTTCCTAAAGACGAATTTACAGCGTTGATTAACTTACGGAACAGACCAGAGCTAACGATTCTCCGCGCGGATAAAGGAAACGCTACGGTAATAATGGATACGTCAGAGTATAATTTTAAAATACTACAGATTTTATCGGACGAAAGTACATATAAAAAGGTTAAAACAGACCCCACAACTAACACGCTTAAAGCAACTAGCGATTTAATAAAGAAATACTCCGAAAATTAAATCTCGACGTGAATTCACTAATACCATTATGTACCTAACCACCGAGGTTGTATGGGTTACCGAAGATACACAAACCAAACGCTCCACTACGTCTTATAGTGAACCAGATCGATTCACCAACTTATAATCTGGCACATCACTTGGAAAAAATACTGTCACCACTGAGAGGACATACCAGAGCACACACAATGGATTCATACCATTTTGTTAGTGAGATAAAAGACCTACATCTCGCTGACAATGAAACTATGGTCAGTTTTGATGTTCAGTCAGACTGCATCTCAATTGTAACTAGGAAGCTAGAAGATAACAACATGCCTGCTGAATATGAATATGCAGTATTACTCAAACATTGCCTCATATCTGGCTATCTATTCTGGAAGGAAGAGTTCTACAAGCAAGTAGATGGTGTGGCGATGGGCTCACCTGTATTTCACATAGTCGCTGACATATTCATGGAGGACTTCGAGGAGAAAGCCCTTCTTACTGCTCCTGTAAATCCAAGATTCTACAAGCGGTACGTAGACGACACTTTCACAATTTTATCATCTGACAAAGTAACTGCATTTTTAAACCACCTTAACTCTATAAACTCTAAAATACAATTCACAATGGAGTTAGAGGCAAATAATTCTTTAGCTTTCCTAGATGTTTTTAGTCATTCGAAATCCTGATAACACTATTGGTCACACTGTGTGTAGAAAAAAGACCCATACAACCGATATCTAAATGGTGAATCTCACCATCATCCTTCACAGTTAGCTACCGTGGGTAAATCTTTGTTTCAGAGAGCACGAGGGATCTGTGACAGAACACATCTGGTCGCCGAGCTTCAGCATGTCAAGCAAGTGTTGCAAGACAACAGGTTTCGAAGCCCGCGCCTACGTCACAGTGACCGAGTGAAGCCGGCCACAGTCGAGCGTGTGCCTGCCTACCATATGTCAGAGGAGTCACAGACAAGGTTGGCTACATCTTGAAGCGAGCTTCCATTAAAACATACTACAAGCCGCCGAAGAAGATTAGTCAATTTTTACCATCCGTCAAGTGTAATATCCCTCTACAAGATGCAGGAGTGTACAAGTTAGATTGTGAATGTGGTCTCTCTTACATAGGTCAAACAAAAAGATCCATAAAAACCCGCGTGAAAGAACATATAGCTGACGTGAAGCACCGACGCTCCGGGAAGTCTGCAGTCTGTGAACATATTCAAGATCGTCCCCACCATTACATCAGATTTGATAAACCACAAATACTCGCAAAAGAACACCGATTCCTACCAAGGATGATTCGCGAGGCTATTGAAATAAAAAACATCCTAATTTCAATAGAGAAGATGGTTGGGTGCTGCCATCTGCTTGGGATCCTATAATTAACAAAATTAAACCCAAATCCAAGCATACCACTGCAAGACTTCAAGATACTGTAAGCTCGTTTTGCGTAAATCGGACCAAAAATTATTATTCAAAATCTGAAGGTAGCCGGGCTTACAATGACATTGGGACGTCAAACATCTCAATACCCCCGTGACTATGGGTGCTGTAAAGCACCTGAAACGTCGGGAATTAAAAATATGTAAAAGTAATTAAATAAACGCGATAGAATCCGTAAATTTAGTTTTATTCAACATTACAACTGTCGCAAAAATCTCTCCTATAAGGCAATCTATAAGGGAGACCCATGTTAAGATTAGGCTTTTATAATGGATGAATGTTTAGAGATATATAGAACAGTATATAGAACAGTAATTTGAAAAAAAAACCAAATAAAATTAAAAAAAAACATCCATAGCATACTAACGTGATTTATATGGCTAAAACCCTTTCAACCCATTCTACTAAATTAGGTTAATAATGGATAGCACGCTCCCAGACCGCGGGGTGTTGGATTAACAAATGAACATAACTCTGCGTTGGGTATACATAAATTTTATCTGCGCGAAGATTTAGAGCGAGAAGTAAGAAAATGCAAAAGAAAATTATAATATAGATAATGGATTTTCTCTGTTTGTCTTCTATTATACTCATCTGGTTGGGTTATTATTACTTATTCATGTAATTTATACACATTTATAAATAAAATTGACGTGTCACAATGAAGTAATTGTCTTTTTTTAAGCTCAGGGGATTTTTATAGAATTAGAGTGAAATGCGAGCACATCGCACCTGATGGTAAGTGGATGGTGTGACCCATACACATAGATGACAATACTTCATGCCGGCACACCACCTGAAACTTTACAAGGCGCGGATTCGGCCTCACATGGAATATT